CGCTCTTCCTGAAATTGAAAAGAAAAACGTAGCTTCTCCAACCATCCGCTATTTCTTCCCTTTCTATACGTAAACCAACCGGATATAGAAGTAACATAAGCGCGGAATAATTTAATGCGCGTCCTATTTGCGATTTTTATCTCGCAGATTTCTCGGGGAATATGACGTTATATCAGATCTAAACAATATCTTACATAAATAATAATAATAATCATTTACATAAATAATAAAATTAGATATAATAAAAAACCATTTATATAAATATTATTATATCATTAATAAAATGTACGAATATTTTCTCGATATAACTCTATTAGAGTTGTGTTTAAAATGATATTTTATATAATATCGAGAGCAAAAATAGATCGTCGTTTTTCTTCGAGTTTCAATAATTAATTAATACTCGATGTGGTCTAAAATAAAGCCGGAAGAAACGCGGAGATAAGGTGATGTTTTTAGCAATATCTGAATCGATGCTACAGAATGACATCCATTGTTTTTTGAGAGTAGATATATTCCACCTTGGGTATTGTTTCTCCAAAGAATGAGGGCGCACGATCCAATACGCTCACTCGTGGATTTCATCGTCGTTGTCATACACACGTTATATTAAAAATATAGTAAAAATATCGTAACGGATTCGTAATTATAAGACCATTTATAGAATTCGAAAGAAATCTTGATTGAGAACAACTTGAAACCCCGTCACGGAAATATCTGGCGTATGCTAATGACAGATATTCGAGAAAATGCAATCTTACATAATGCTTTTGAAGCTTCTTTCCTTTTGAGCAGCATTTTTTTTGCAATCAATTACATATTTTTAAAAACATTCTCTCTCTTTTTCTTTTTAGATATTTTTTTATCTTTTATAATCCAATTGCAATTTTCTTTAAACTACACAACAATTGTTATTTAACAATTTATTATTACAAAAAAACAAATGATTCTAACATAAATCACGTTATGTTGTGTGTTCCGTTTCATGCTTGAAACAACAACTTTAATATCGTACTACAGTGTTGGGAAACTCGGAGTAATTTCGTTTTACTCTCCGTATTTGTGAGGAGCTTTGGAAAGAGTTTTGCTTGTAAGTTAACTAATTCTCTTTCAATGCGATATTTAACTGAAATAATCATCATTCTATTACAACGTGAATACAAAAGAACACTCTTTTGACATCAGTCATCTCTTATTCATCTTATATTTACAATAAATAAATATTACCAGAGGTAAAGAAAATATGTGAATACAAAAACGCTGAAATTACAATTGAAATAAAATTCAACATAATTTTATCTTCAGAAAATGGATAAAAAATCTCTCAGCTTTATTTTAGACGTAATACCGAGTAACTAAATATTGAAGCTCGAAGAGAAGCGACGATCTATTTTCACTCTACAAACATAATCTAAAATCTAAAATGTTACTTTGAATAAAACTCTAATGGAGCTTATATATTGAGAAAATTTATACACAAATGTAAGATATGATTTTTCACACATTAAAAATAATAATCATTTTTTAAATTGAAACTGAAATGCAGATTTTTTCAAGAAGATTTAAATCTTGAAGAATGCAGTCTTGATACATTTAGATCATCTTGCGGTCTTTCTATTATTAAAAGTACTAGAAATAATAATATAATAATATTTAAAAATTTAATATTAATTACAAAATCGCGTGATTAATTTTTTTTTTTTTGCTTTTGATTAATTCATGATCAATCAATGTGTTTAAAAATTGCATTATTTCTCCGTATAATACTGTGAAATTATGAGAGTTGCTGGACAGCTGCGCATTTCCCAAGGGACGTAGCAATGTTTGTACTTTACCGCAAGACACACCCATCTTGTCTGTGACCGAAGCACGCTGTGGCGGCAAACTTTGATAACTCTGGAATGTACGTCGCACCTCATTAGACTTCGATATTTGTTAGCACTTCCTTGCAAGTTATTGCATCGGTTTAAAGTTTCGTCTACAATTTATTCTCGCAAATTCTCGCATTTAGACACTATATTTCATTGAATAGAGCGAATTGTTGTATTATACACACTATTGTCAATTGTTGAACGTGAACAAAATTATATAATAGAGGCAGCGCTTTAATAACACGCTTTATTTGAATAGCACACAATGATTGAGATTATAAAATTTAATATGAAAGAAAATTAAATATTATTTCTATAATTTGACTTTTTAATTTCATTCAAGAAAAATATAGAAACGCGTATCTTTTCAGAATGCATTAAAAAAAAACATGACATTTTAAATGTCATTTAATATTAGACTTGAAAAGCTTTAATCCTTTTATCGCTCTTTCTTTAATGTCCAGCTCTATGCTTAGTGGATCTTGCCATTGTGAATGGAATGGAATTGATAATAACATTGTACTAAGAAGTCGTACAATTCTCTTTAAGCTCCAATGACTCTAATGCTTATATATCCTTCCCGTAAAATAAAAGAGTATCCGTTTCTCAGTTTCGTGAAAAGAAAGCTTCTGTTGATTAAGGGACAGGGGTCTGTAATGCTGGTTTTATACGATATTTTATTTTGCGTGTGACTCGTCATTACGCGTATTCCAATAACTAAGACTTACTGTCAGTAGAATCTTTTTAGCTCTGGCGATCATCGTCACATTCTTTATTTTCCTTCGTGATATGCCTGAAATAAAAAAAAAACTGAGGTATAAAATAGTAATTTCTCAAGATTGTCGTGGTGAAATATTGAAAAAATGTCAGTATAAACGAGGAGTAATACTCATCAAAGAGAAAAGAAAGCCTTGGTATATGTAGGCCAACAATTCTTCCTATATAAAGATATGTCAGTGTTTTTTCTGCTAATAATGTCGCTACTTTTTGTATTATTATAAGTGTGGTGATTTCTATTCTAAAAGATAGAACGAATAAATGGCTGCAAAAGAGGACGTGCTCCATAAAATATTTCCGTTCCTTCTTTTTATAATATATTTTATGGACAAAAGATCACAAGAACGTTCAAATATGTCAGCGAAAAAATCTGCATCTTCAACATCGTTGAAGAAAATTTACTGTTACTTTTTATTTATATGAAAAATTACGTTTTATACGTTTTCTGTAAAATGGAACAATTTCAGTAGAAACATTCCCTTTTTGTCTGATATATATTTGTTCTCTACAGAATTCCTACATTTCTGAGTTTCATACACGTTCCGCGGTTAGATCTTCCTAGAAGTATCCCAATTTGCAGTTTTCTCTGTGCCGGAATTACATATGATAATGGAATGAGAATACCGAGACAGTGGGATTTATTCATGAATATATAATTCTTAGAAATAATAATAATATCAAAATAGACATCGAACACGTATCAGATTTTTGCGACAAACCTATTTTAATAATAAGAGATTTTTAATAATAAAAAGCATATTTATAATAATAAAATTTTTAATAATAAATATATAGTGATGAAAAAGATTATTACCATTTTTATGCTTATGAGAATTACAGTGTTGATTGTATGCATATTTTATCGATCATTGATTAGAAGAGAGACAAGGAGGACAATTTTGCTCCGAAACACTGAAAGCATCTCAAGCGTGTATGCTTGAAAGCCGGCCTCGCCTTGCTTCTGCTTATTATCTGTTATCTAACCGACTAATGTCGATCGACTTTACATAATGGGATTGAGCTAGTTTCAGCACGCAATAAATTTATCTAGCAGATTATATTTTCAATCAAACAGACGGACGAGTAGGCGAGTCAAAATTATATCATAATTGTATCTTGGAAATATTACGGTATAAGAATAAAAGTACCGTGTAATAATACTATGCAAAACTTTACGAGCAGCACAACGTAAAAAGCCATAATATATAAATAAATGCGCGTTGATCTCCCAAGTTTTTTATCACTCCTGTACTATAATTTCAAGGTCGTAGTTGTTTTTTTTTTTTTTAAAGAAGACAATAAGAAGCAAAAAAACATGTCGCGCCACTTTGCGGCTCCATTAAATCTCGCGCTTCGCTTAAGCGTCGCGATTATCTCGTCTTCCGTTGTCACCGTCGCCCCGATGGGAGAATAAAGCACGAGATACTACGAGAAGACGAGTAAAAAAAAAGAGAGAGAGAGAGAGAGAAGGAGAGAAGAGAATCTCCCAGATGTAATTACCCCCGCGCGCAACCCCTGCTTTTGTGTCATCGGTACAACTTTCTCACCCCTTATCCACTGTCTACCGAGCTTTTAGCGGTAAGCGAGTCTCCACTCTGAAATACGAGACCCCACGAGATTCGTCGAATATTTTTTTCCCCGGCTTGCAAGCGGCTGTTATCGCGGGGTTGCAGAGTCGCTTCACGAAATCGAGCGCAAGCTTCGACTCTAAGTTAAATTTATTTACCGATGATCACAGTACGTGACTTTTAGAAGGCTTTTTATGACGCCCATTTAACCGCCTCTCGAGGATGTACAGCCGATCGCGAGGTCTTCCTCTCATAGCAATCGCTTTGATAGATGTATACATAGCACGCGAATGCGGTTATATATTAGTCGCGTTCATTATTTACGTAGTTGCAACCGCGGTCGATATACGTTCGCTTTTTCATTATTAACGGCGCGCGCGTTTGACAAGTATTCGCGAAATCCACGCGTGATAACGATTTCGAGGAGAATAACGAGAGTTCGTAGAGTAGAGCCGATGATAGATGATCCTTTAATCGCGCGTTATTCTAGTCTAATAGGCATACGGTAATGCGTGATTTATGCTACGCGCTCTTGGTGGAAGGTAAATGTGTGACGGGCGAAACTTAAGCGGATTTCGAAGTCGCTTTATCAGGGGAACGCGGTCGGAAGATTTAGCGCGTCGCGTTAGATCAAAATGCCGAAACCGCATACGCGATAGGCAAAAGTGCAAACGAATGTCACCGTCGCGACCATTCACGCGATGAACGGAGAAAGATAGATCTATATATATATATATATATGTATATACATATATATATATCGCGGAAAATCGCTCTGAAAACGTCGCCAACAATGACAACTATAGCTCCCGCGTGGATTCCACGGTATCTCGGTTGTGCGTAGCGAAGTCTCGGATGTACAATTCTATCCCGACGCTATTTTTATATATATATGAAACACGTGAATTTCTGAATAATGCATGAGAGAGAGAGGCACATTTTCAACACCATTGGCGCTTCCTTTTTTACATTCCGCGAGATGCATGTATCGCTGTTTCTCATTTTTGTGTCTCGCGAACGCAACGCGATATTTTTCACTGGGTAAATTCGCTTGTCCAAATAATAGATGCGTCTGCCTCTCTGAGAATATCTTTCATTGCATTATCTTCAGCTCTGGGAAATCGAATTTTTCTCTTGGAAATAGCTAAATAAAGTTGATAAAACGAGTTATTTTTATTAAGTATTTAATTAAGATCGAATCGTGCGCTGAAAAAGAAATTTATAATGCAATTTTAATTATAGTGTAATATTTTTATTAACAAACGTCCGTCTATCTGATTATAGATTGTTACGGCAGAGAATATCCCATTGTGGAGGGAAGCGATCGACCCAGACGACATGGGCATGTTACGTCGAGCAAACGTTACGACGTTAACGGAAGCGGTATGTGTGTGTAACGTACATATACATGGAGAGAGAAACGATAAATATGTAAAAATATGTAAAATTTGATATATAAAAATTTAATTAAAAAATTTTAATTACCTCTATGTAATATTGGCATTTAATTATGACAGCTCGAGATGAATAACGAGATTTATTAAACTTCTGGATACTTTCGCTTAACAGATAACGTGACAAAGATCGAGGTGGAGCTCAGGGAGGCACCGGACGCTGTCGTCGTCGGATCCATGTCATCGGAATTGGAAGCCGCCACCGAGCTCAATTCGACCTTTCCCGACGGTGAGAGAGTTTAATATCTCTTCATATAATACAAGAAAGAGAGACTGTTACCCTTGTTTATTTCTAACCTTATCGTGTTTCATAATGTTCTCCGCCCAATCTTGTTAAGCAAGATACCGAGACGTTTTACTTCCTTTCTCTCTCAAAGAACGTAATAAAAATTAACGGCAGAATTTATGAAGTTATTCCGTAATTTTTCTTTTTACTTACAATTGAAAGAACTGATCTTATATTTAGATTTTGAGAAAATATCCACGAAAGAAGTTACACATTTACAAAATAAGTAAATTATATTTACCGTTCTTGATCGTTCTTCGAATTAGAAGTTAGATTGAACTTCTGCATCGGATATTATCCTTATCGGTATCACGATTTCCATCAACAACAAGTATCGAGAGGGAACGCAATTGGGGGGAAAAAAGGTGGCCAAAAGTTTGATGAGTTCTCTGAAACATTGATCACGTATATGATGTTTCAATTTCCAAGGATCCCGAGGGGGATTTCTCGTATATATTCGCGTCTTTTTGCCGTGAATTTTTGATGCGTCTCACGATTCCCCCTGTCGTGACAAAGGAAAAGAAATGACCCGTGGGATAACTGCGTTTGCTCGGTGTTTACTTTTCGAGTTTTCGCTTCACGCGTCTATTCAATTTTACCTTCATCAATCAGCCGAATGTTATTCACAAAACGGTTGATTTCACATTTCGTTAAAATTCGCGAAAACTTTACACTTGTTACAGAGTAACGGTTCAACGCGCAAACAACACACGCGGATGTTACATATATGTGATAAATAATTTATTATCACCAAATGAGTACGTGTGTCGAGTACGTTTCTCTGTTTTCGCTAATAGCATTAGGTTGTTAATCCGATGCAGTTTGAATATATTTCGTATCGCTTTATTTTGATTTTACGTGAAGTTATAAACGAATTTACATACAATTGCAACGATATTTCAAAGAATACGCGTTGATGATAGAAGATCGATCGATCGTACAATCATTCTTTAAGGATATAAAAAGTAAAAAATTTCGCGTAAATTTGACGAACTCGTAAAACAATTCGCGATATGCCATCTGCGCAATGATATACTGTGTGAAATGGAGAAAAGAGAGTATCTCTCTCGTAAGATAGAAAAATTTTCTCGTAAATATAACGTGTCTTGAATATAATGTAATACATCTCTTTGTAACATGCTATATTTTTAAAGTTACTTTAATAAAGTTTAAAATTCTTGGAAATGCAAAGTTCATGGCGTATGAAATATCCTGTCGTCTGGCGACAAGAAGAGAAGAGAGAGATTTAAAGTAGTATATAAATTATGTATAGAAAATATCGTCTTAAAAAGAGAAAACAAAAAAACCGTGTATTCTACGGTCGCCAGGAACAAGTATGCCAAGTATTGCATAATGGAATCCATCTAGTTCCTCTCCTTGTTTTGATTCTCTACGTAATGTTACGTCTACGAGCACTCTCTTCGAAAGGATCGATCCCGAATAGGGCGACAAATATCAATTTATCAGTTCGATCGTCTGTCCCGTGCGAGCGTACTGTGAAATCGTTAGACGGCATTGAAGGGTCGCCAACAAAGCTTCACGTATGACCGAGCATCGAATTGTGCCGGCACTCCTGAGCGATATTTCTTGGGTTTATTTTCTCCGTTACCTATACAGTCAGTCTGGCACGTTCGTGCAGTTGGCTCGTAGATCATGGGACGCATATGAAAAATTAGGTCACGTTATATCGCGACTATCACTTTTTAAAGTTGACATTTTATTGTGCAAATGTTTGCACATACTTAATCTTTCTTTTATAATACCACTGATCGGTGTTTTTTTAATGCAAACTCTTGTAATTATTTTATCCGTCAAGTTGGATAAAGAGCGAATTTAATCAAGGATCATACATACGCACGCAGGAACAGGTAGTGGTGCGGTAGTGGTGCGTGCCGAGGAGGCCCTGATCGTCATCCTCGTTTTGGTCCTATGGGTGGCTGCAATCGCTCTATTTTTCAATCGATGGGGCAAGATCCGCATGCTCGAGCCATATCAGCCGAAATTTCAGCAACAACACAGACAAAGCTGCAGCATAGTCGACCCAACCCCACTTCAGGTAAGTGCGCTCTTGCGCGGTCGCTGATTTGACTCTCCCTCTGTCTCTCCCTTATTTCGCATGGATAGTCAGTATACAGAAATGTCTGTACAGTCCGTCGAAATATGCATTACATCATCCGATTAGCATATGACATGATCAAACGCGCGACATGTACAGAATTCCCTGTGTATCAGACATGGACATGTAGCTCGAGATATCAGCGATACGCGACTAATGGATTATCAAGCAAGAATAAATCAGTATTCATTTAAATGTGTCCGGCAATTTGAATTTTAATTACTTAATTAATATACTGCTTTGATGGAGAGAGAGATCGCTATCTTCGATGGTATTATTTAATAAAGTTAAATTTATTTTAGCAAAAGAGTTTCTACAATTATCATGATTAATATTCTCTCATCGGCTGCTTCTTCACGTGCTTAATAATTTTATGTAGCATATTAATATCTCATTATGGATCATTTAATTAATGAAATTCAATATTGCACAATATTTCTGCGACACGTAAATCACGCGATGTATTCCACGGAATAAATTTCCTAATTACTATGATGGAGATTACAGTTTCCAATATATACAGATAGCAGCACTCTGATTATTTCCCATTTAATTATCAAAATAAGGGCGAGTGTTTTAACATACTGCCGCAAGCGCTGCGCGTTAAACAGTCGTTAGAGGAGATTCGCAAACTCGTGGAGAGCAGTTGAAAAGCAAACCTGCTTATGTATACTCAAAATAGTTGCATATCGACTGTATTGATATATTTTGCAGAATAACGCAGATATACTAAATCATTTAATAAGATTTTTTTTAAAGGAATGTCGTAAAAGATGAAGTCACTCGCGCTGTAGCAATCTTTTATCCAATTTATTAAGGATGAAACACATTCTCCCTCGGGTGAGGTTTACAACCTAACATGCATACACGATGTCCCTTATATCACGGCATATAAGCAAGCATATAGCTCGGACGTGAGACTACCAACGCGAGAAATAACGTGTTTTCTATGTGCGGGTCCCGTAGACGATAAACCTTGGTTGGCTTTACGTAGACGAGCGTAAATTCACTATCTTTCATCGGATCCTTATGGTGATTCTATGTCAAGCTACGGATTGTGCCATCTTTGTAAATCGAATCGGGATCGTTACAAAACAATATGCAAATTCGCGTAATCGCATTTTATAAAGAGGGACGTCAATTATTAAAAAAAAAAAAGGAATAAAAATCGAAACTGATTCTCCAAGAAATGTCAGACTTTTATCTCTATAAAATATTGGTTTCTCTCGAACAGGCGCTAAGTGAATCTTCACACAAAGGTACTTTATATATGTCAGCTGTGACCCTAAATTGAATGCAGATGCAATAATTAAAATCCGTCGATATCGTCAACTCCCACGCGAGCGACTTCAACCGCGTATTTTGGGAATTCCTGAATCTTGTAGTGTTTTTTTTTTTTACTGAACCGAGCCAAATTACATTTCTGTCAGCAAATTTATTGGGAGATCAGCAAAATAAGCAAAGATTTAATGCGCTGTACGTGTTTGTTATGAAATATCTTTCCAATATTCTCTTTTTCTATCTTTCTTTCTCTGCCGAAATGAGCGTTTTTCATCGCGATCGCAGATAATGTATGTTATCATAACGTATGTTTCATAACGTCATTTAATCTCGTACAAATGCCTATATACATAGTGTTTCATTAACTCCGTTATACGCCATTTTCTAAGAAACGATTGAAGATATCGATATAAACTCTGCTTCAAATTTTATCGAATAAAAAGCTCTTTTATATTATGTAATAAACAAAATTTTAAATCCATTGTAAGAGGAGTAAAAGAAGAGCAACTATAAAATTTTAAATATAGGACACATGGGGATAAATTCTTATACATTCTTAAAAACTTTGTTGACCTGAATATTTTTTACTAGAAGACAATTTTTAATAATAACACACATACATTGGTAGTTACAAAAATTTTAAGTATAATAAATAATAACGAGTAGCGTTTATTTTGTTATCGCATCAATAAATATTTAGAATTTAATGGAAATCATTTGGAACATTTACTGAAATAAAGAAATTGATAGTTTTTTGCAAATAACAAATAATCCCTTATAATTGATTTAAAATTTGCTTTACTACATTTGTTTACTACAAAAGAGCTTTTTGTTCGATGAAATTAAAAAAAAAAGATTATATCGATATTTTCAATATTTTTTTAGAAAATAGTGTACAACGAGATTAATGAAATACCTTGTATATTTCATGATTTGATACAAAAGAGAACAATGCGCGAATATGAAACGATTTACCATTGAAAGCGCCCCGGGATTGCTTGATCTTCGCGAATCGATCGGCTATGTTGCTGCTTGGTAACAGCATAATTGATACTCGCGTTTCACAGATATTTTATAAATACGAATCTTCAGACTGGACTGCTTCGAAATCTATGATTTCAAAGCAAAAATATATAACGCGTATACACAGAGTAGTTTACTATCTTTGACTATCAAAAATATTTCTGCTATTTTAAACAATAGAAAAATATTGAAGCTAGAGAGTTTTACGGTTTGAAATTGCACGTCAAATGGTGGCAATTGTTTCATTGTAGAAGCCATAAAAGAGATTTGAAAATCAAATTTATTTTTTTAAAAGGGATAACAATTTTTTACGATGGAATTCTGTAAAGCAAAAAAAAATTTAAGGAAAAAAATGTTAAAGTACGTATGTTTCAAAATTAATAGTTTTCAAGATATTCAATTTTTACTTTTCTAGCAGTCACAATGTTTAATTTATTCCTCGATTAGGATGGCGGATCAATTTTTTGGCCACTTTATTTCCTCGATCTAATCCCACTTGACTTTTTTCCTCTGGGGGACATTAAAAAAACATGCTATAATATATCAAGAAAGACCGGACTTCACCGAAAAATATGAGGCAATGAATTGTGGCATGTATTCCAATAAATCTAAAATTGATAAGACGCACGTGCTTCAGCGGTTCAAAGATTACAACGCTGTAAATATATTTGCTTCAACCGTAACGAGAAAACGTATGAATGGGAGATTTGAATTAAACCGTGAACCGTTCTTTATTTATATCCGAATTAAATTTATATATTTTCTGCGGATTTTAGATGACGCGCGAGTGTAATACTGCAGTTTTTTTGAAACCATCCTTTTTACTATGTTGTCGCATCAACATACACATTTTATTATTTATGTTACGCGGCTTAGTGAAAATTTTTTGCGAGCGAACAATGCATTGCAGAAGTTTTCAAACGCATAGAGGATGCGCCAAATATTTTCACGGTGTCAGTCGTATCGTATCGGTATCGGATTTACAATGGAATATATAAATCACGACGTGAATGGGAAATGTCCGGCAAAATGGATGCTCGACGAGGTTTACGAGATCTCGATCATTCCGTGGTACATGTCGGCTGAATTATAAATTCATTGTAGCATCATCCATTTGTTCTATATAAGATTAATCTTTTTTCGATAGTATAAAATATTTACATATATATGGTATTTTTTATCGCATCAATTAATTGTAGCGGTATATTTTTATAGGTGGTAATGTAATCCCAGGAGTTTTGTGTAAAAAATACATTAAATGTTTGCGCGATAGTACAGGAGATTTTTCGTTCGTAAAGGTACGAATAGAGAGGGAGACGCACATACACAATGTTACACGAACAATTGCGTCCGTGAATTCCGAGCAATTACTTTTAGATTGGAATCATCGTTCGTCAATATGTATTTCTACATCTATGGTAATTCAATCGTGAAAACGTTCGATTGCATTGGCATGTCAGAAACAGCCGACCTCGATTCTATTAAACCGAAGATATCACATATCTTAAAATCGGTTTCTGGACAAAATTCGAGAAAAGTTAAGCGTATGAGTATGTGCGGTTTAAACTTAAACTCTAACTTGCAAATTTGTATGAAAAAAAAAATTCTGTTGAAATATTGATGTTCGAACGTCATAAAACGTAATATGAGGTAAAAAAGGTAAAGACAATGCAAATTATTGATAAACAATGAGCTTAACGGCGTGTAATTAGTACTGTTGATGTAGAAAATTGAAGGCAGTGTCGCTCAGGAGTCAATTGTCGGTATTCTAATAAAATCTCTCGGGGTACGCACTTCGGGTAACTCATTTCGACTGTTCTGGTTTGCAAACTATCGTTCTGAATATTCCTGATTTGTGCCCCGATGTCAAATCGCAAGCGGATATTCGAACGCGTAAGATCGTCGATCCCAGGACGAATTACCAAAGTATGATTCACGCGGGATTCTGGGCATTGAGCTTGAAATGAGAAACCGGCGAGAGACTTTCGGATATTCGATTCAATATACTCAAAAGAGAATTCATAACTCGTTTGCGATATCGGGATGTGTGTGATGGGATTTACTATTGTTCTCTCTAAATTGTTCGAGTGTACTTGGTGAGCTTTCAAGGGATTACAATCCGCCGTCAGTGGCTCTAGAGACAAACCCGTGTCGTGTACATATAGACTGGCATATTAACACCTCGGACAACCATTTGTCATACATATTCCATGCTACGCAAACGAATAACTTCTCACCTCAATCAAGTAAATTTCGGAATACATCCATAAATCCCACGGATCCTTCACGTGTTTGTAGATTCGTGGATCTTGGAATTATCAGAATGTAACAATATATGTCTTTACCGACAAAGTGCATATAATACTTGCAGGATAAATTAATATATTACCAATTTTTAAACTGCCTTATATAAAAAATCTTTAGATCCTAAAATTAAATCCGTCGAAATAATATTCGATTATGTCTAAGTCTTTGAACCTATATGAGGTGAGATAATTATGTTGCGAATCATAGTACGATATTACATGCAATATTCAAGGCAGCATCTGTATAATGAGGCAATATGTCAGACACTACATACGGCTGTATATGAAACGTGCAATCTGTCATTCTCAGCGCGGTATGTGCACTTACATCGTTCCATCAAAGCGTTAGCGCAGTGTTGCGTTATATGTATATATGTATTATACGATCTTTCATTTAGAAAATATTATCCCGATGCGCCCTCAGATCCGTAATCCGATGCAGCCGCATTAAGCGATATCGCTGTCTCGTGCAATTTTCATGATTGATGAGGATACTGCGGGTAATAGGCCCGAGCAGAGAGCTTGCAGTGACTTTCGATCGTACAAGCAAATCCATTTTGCGCGGTTGCTTTCCTGTCAAGTTTAGTGCTGTACTGATGGGATTTCTAGTGAAGAAGGCGATGAAGTAAATCGTAAACGTAAAATGATCGAAGAGAAATTACTTTCTGCATTTTATTACGTCGCGTCGCTGCAATAAATGACACGATTATGTAATAATTCAGCGAGCAATTTTGTACGTTCCTTCTATGAATAGCAGAATGATTGAAAATCATGCGCGAAGTTAATGACAGATGGCCTGTCCCACATAAATTGAAGCAGATATTTTAACTGCTTTCAATGTGTTTGGCGTTTCATTGCCGATTCTCGTATGTTCGTCGAACATTTCCCGATAATTAGGCTCGTGAGAATTCATTCAAAGCATCCGATCGGGATTTGGGTAATAGATAACTCGGGATTTGCGTAATCAATTTCAACGAATCGGTTCTACTACGGATGCGGATGCAATATAGTTATATGGTCGGAAAAATTTTTCTTCAACGTCTATTGAAAAATTACATTACAATAAAATCTTTGTAGTGTGTTTTGATTTACTCTTTTAAATAGAATCAATATGTTATCATTGAAAAGCAGTGAATAATTATGATGGTCTTAATTATAAATATAAATGACACGATTATGCAATAATTTAGCGAGGTATTTTGTACGTTCCTTCTATGAATAGCAGAATGATTGAAAATCACGCGCGAAGTTAATGATAGATGGCCTGTCCCACATAAATTGAAGGAGACATTTTAACGGCTTTCGATGTGTTTGGCGTTTCATTGCCGATTCTCGTACACTCGCCGAACATTTCCCGATAATTAGGCTCGTGAGAATTCATTAAAGCGTCCAATCGGGATTTAGAGAAATAGATAACTCGGGACTTGAGTAATTAGTTTCACCGAATCGTTCCACTACGAATGCGGATGCGATATAGTTATATGGTCGGAAAAAATTTTCTTTAACGTCGATTGAAAAATTAGATTACAATAAAATTTTTATAGTGTGTCTTGATTTACTCTTTTAAATAGAATCAGTATGTTATCACTGAAAACCAGTGAAATGAGTCTCAATTCTAAATATAGCACTGCAAGTCAGTGAAATCTCATTAAAAAAATTAGTTAAAGATAGTGGCTGTTTCAATCAATGATATTTTAAAATGTATCTTATATATTATCACATTATTTCTAATTGAAAAACTTGTTTTTTAAAATTACTTTTTAAATATAATAACATTTTCCTTCATATCTTTTATTAATATAATAAAAAAATTAATGTTATATTCTTAATTTATCTTTTTTTTATAAGTAGTTTTAATGGATTAATGATATTTTTGCGGCAAATATTTATGTCATGAGCAATTTTAGTTTTTCTAAAAGATAGCACAATCCATAATAAATAGAAAATCTTTTAAAAAAGTTACATCCGGCAGATATGCACAATTATTACTGATTTTTTAGTGAAATCTCATTGCCATAATCAGTGGGATATAGGACGGAGGAGTGTGCAAAGTACGAGTGTTTTTATTCAAGATCAGTGAAATATTCGCTGATCTTTGGTGAAATCTTGCATCACCGCTTTAATCAGTGACATTTTTACTGATTCAATTTAAGAGAATACTTTCGTCGTCATAGTATGACATTTTATCGGCATATCTAATTTTGTTTATCTAACACACTCTGCATCGAATTACTTCGAAGGCATAAGATCTAAAATTGACTGGAGTATCGCGAAGTTTCCATCCGCTTTTGCATAATACATGTAAATGCAGTATCATCCTTGCTTTCTCAACGGTCTCGGGACACCGTCCCGTAATCTGGAAAGATGCAACGCCTCTTTCCCATAAAACGCGTCGCGATATCGACTTACGCAGTGTCTGGAATAACGTACTCACGTTGCATACGAGAGTTTCCGGTTGGGCTGCATAGTCGAGTGAGTTCCGCCATGGAGCGATAGCGTAAATCCGAACTCTTGCGTCCCTCGAGGAAATCTTGTGAGGCAATCTTCTTTCCTCGCGCGTTATAGAATTCCATAGAATAAACCATTTCAGTATCGATGTCGCGTGTCGAAATTCGGATTCTTTTGTTGACGTTTCGCGGGGAAATTTCATTTACGAAGGAATAATATAAGCGGTGTGCTAGCCACGGGGCTTTACAAATCCCTCTCGTTATCACAACAATACTCGCGATCGTTAAATAGATGCGCGCCTCGTCTGTTAGAAAATCATGTCAACGCACATATCTAGCCATAACGTGTAATTGGGTACATGTACCCACATGTGCTTCCGGGTCACATTCGCGTAATACATTTTCACCGAAAAACAACCTCGGCCATGTAATTCGCTATACATCTCTGGTGCAGATATCTCTACGGGAATATCACCGTCGGGTTCGCCCAACTATGGCTATGGATATATGTTTATAGACGGTCCTATTTTGTTCAATATAATTACGAATTAGCTAGTTATAGCATCTAATCGTTTAATTGCGATATGTATAGTTTGATTTTTTTAATTATTTTAATTAGTTTAGTTTTTAATTATCGATGATATTTTTTCATCGTTGCATCATTAATTTGTTATCTCCTTTTTCGAATGGAATCAGTGTATTGTCATTGAGATCAGAAATAATTTCAGTAATAATGACTCTAACATATCGTAATTAATGTTTTTTAAAGTCGTTTGATAAGATAAAAATTCTAATCTACACGTAATATCGTATCACATTGTATTCTCGTCAAACTCTCTCATGCTCTAAATATAACTCATTCTTTCTGTCAATACAAATAATCATATCGTGAGCCACCTACCTCAGTAAGATCGCGTCAGTCAGGATCCGGCTGGGATTTTGTTCGCAGCATCGGAGCTACTCGAAATTCAATATCCACTGTCTGGAGCATCCGGTGAGCTGTATCCCGGCGGGAGGACCGGTCGCCAGGTTGCGGCAGAACAGCGTGTTCGTGGGTTCGAGCACGTCGCTGCTGTTGCCCAGCCAGGAGACGCCTAGACGCGCCAAGAGCGCGTTCGATCTGCAGTCGTTGGTCCACGCGGAGTGCGTGGACGAGGAGGAACGCGACGGCGACACTCTAAGAACCCTCAAATCCATCGGCGAGTCGTCGCGGCTGTTGCAGCGCGAACGCCGATCCAGCGCTTATCAGTTCGACCGTATGGACGTTCTGGCGAGGCCGACGCAGCGGGAGCGTGGCATGAGTATCTGTCAATTCGACCGGACGGATGTTCTGGCGAGGCCGACTTCGCAACGGGACCGCGGTCTGAGCATCTGCCACTTTGACAGGACAGACGTCTTGGCAAGGCCGACGCTGCAGCGAGAACGCGGCATGAGTATCTGTCACTTCGACCGGACGGACGTTCTGGCGAGGCCGCAGCGCGATCGCGGCAACAGCATCTGCCACTTTGACAGGACGGATGTTCTGGCGAGGCCCATCTTTCCATCCGGCAAATCTCTGCTGCGGGAGAGACGCGTCAGCGTGTGCAACTTCCTGGAGAGATACGAGGATCCGCCGTACCGCAGGAGTTCGCTGCAACGGGACCGACGGTTGAGCGTGAGTAATGTCGACAAGATCGAGACTTTGGGGAGATCCTTGTCACCCAGGGACTTCCGAAGCAGCGTCAACAACGCGCTCGACAGCCGGCAGGATAGTCTCGCGAGATGTAGCACGATCATGGAAAGGAACAGCTCCGTGCATCACTTCGATCGTCCATCATGCAGCAAGACGCCCGACGTCGTTCTCGGATACAAAGCGACGTGCGTTTAATCCGCGCGCTAGCTATACCGTTCGGTGCCGAGGAAATAACACCATGACATTCTCTGATAACGGTCCCGGGATCTACTTCGAACGAAATACGGCTGTGAAAATTCCTTTGGTTATTCGCTTCACCTCTCTCGACATCTTTACCGCCTATATTTCTTATATTCTTTATAAGTTCTCTTCTGCGAAAAAGAGCACCGGCCCTAAATATAGCCACCAACCCTTACCGAAAATCCTTATCAAAGTACGGTGCGGCAGCTATCGTCTCCTCCAACAGGATGTTACGGGTTTCCAAATGGCGGTTTCCCTCGTTTTTTCTCTGACGCGATAAACGCCGATTTCGGGCTCGCTCGCTCGCTTCGCGGAAAAAAGATCTGCTCTCGGTCAGAGAGTCATTTCGCGCTTGAAGATATCCCGAGTGTCGTGAAAACGCGTCGGATCTCTAAAAATCCTGCGAAAATTGGAGGCGCGTCACGCAATAGGAGCGCCTCGCTCCGAACGACGAAGGGAGTTTTCCGTTGTAATTTTTCTCTTTTTTATTTTTGTTATTTTTTTTTTCTTGCTGCGGGCTAGTAATGAAGCCACCTACCGTGCTTCGATTCGGCCCGCCTCATGCATGATACATGACAGGAATGGATTCGCCGAGGGAGCGCCGTTAAATTTCCGTTTGTTACTCAGCGATTCGTTAACCGTACGTATTTTCGACAATTCTGCGCCGAATAATGAAACCGTAGAATTCTAAGGGATATAGCCGCGAGTATAACCGTTCCATAACGAGCAAATACGTGCGCGGAATTATCACGATCGCGAACGAGATTGTTTTACCTCGAAGTGGCCCGGAATGTTTAATTCGCGAAACCTAATTAGCGAGCAGAATATAATTAATCCTACGGAAAAGGAGCTTTAAAAATTGATTGAGCAATTTTTTCCTTATTCCTGTCTCTTTCTCTCTCTTTCTCTCTTTATTCTTGTAGACATGATTATAGGCGGAGATCCCTCTCCTCTCTTTCTCTCTCTTTCTCCTCAAAATATAATCCGCGTAGATACAAGTCGTAGAGATTACTCTATTCTTCGGAGATCTCGTATACGCACTTTCTCTACTCGTAAACGTATGTATATACAGGCTCTCGCAAATTGTCTGCACACGAAGCAACGTAAATCGCGTAAATTCGCGTTTCGCTCGTTCGATTTACAAAACTTGTCAACGTCATCGAGCATCAACGCGACGAAAGAAACGACATGTGCTCAGGGATTATTTAAAAATCTTCACTCGTCGGAAATAGTCTGTCACTCTAATATAGAATCATCAAGCGCAAATCAGTTCTTCACGCAATTAACATTGTTGATTGCCGCTGAACAATTAGGTAATTTTGTCCCCGATACCATATCACAGTGTGTATATTAACATGCTATTTTAATATACTACTTATATATAGTTACATTTATTTTCCATCAACACTCATGCTAAAATTTTATATTTTCTCCTTTGAAAGATTGAGTCGAGTCAACTCGTATTTTTGGCAGTCAACGTATTAAACATTGATATATTAAATAGAGCTTATTAATTTAACGGATATTGAATATAGATTAACATCAGATGCACATTCGTTAATCAGGCTTTGTAGTCCGATTAATGTGCGAAATACGACATGTATTTTGCACATGTTACGAGCGTATGTTTACGTTTAATACGTAACAACCATTAAAATATTATTGTTGCGTTTGTGATTCTGCTTTTCGGTTTTGCGGAAATGTCATAATTCTCCGCCATTTAATGCTATCGTAAAGTACAAAAGCGTTCAAACCATATACCTATTCTAAAGCCATCGTATGCAATAGAGAAACAAATAATACTCGCCGTCATATCCACGAATATTCGAGTTACGATATATAACGAAATATAATGACATATTTTGAATAAATGATAGATTTACATATATATGCACAAACGTACATACATATGTACATACATATATGCGCGGGAATAATAATGTCAGATATTTTCGGAGAGCCTACATATTTTTATCTGTCGAGATAAGACGAGCATTTCACTCCTAATGAGGTTACTTAGATCTAGTTTCTTCGGAGAATATATGATACAAAAATAATATATATGATACAAGATCTACGATCGGTGCTAGAGAGTTTTCAGCAAAATTAATAATCGTATAAATGTTTGTAGAGTGTTCGAAATTAAGGAAATGATGTCACTCTTGAACTGATATAAATATTACCTCCTTTCAATTTAAAAGTCACGTTGCTAAAAGAGAATTAAAAGAGGAATACAAAATTTAATAGGCTCGATGTAGACGTTTTTTAATTTATTAAAGATTTTCGTTTTTGCTCTCTCTCTCTTTCTGACAATTTAATTAAAATTGCAGCAAAGTCATCATATAAAAAAAAAAAAGAAATAAGCATGTTTAATTCCGAGCAGTGCAGAGAAAACAGTTTTTAATAAAACAAGATATTACTGTAAAATTCTCGCATTTTTATATACATATAAAAATGAGAGTGCGAATATCTTTGCTGGTGTTTATTTTAATTTGGGCATAATTGCACCAATTGTATAATTGTATAATTGAAGAATTCTCAGCATTAAGGATGTTTAAAACATGCTTACAGCAATTAATACATTGTTGTCTTAATCCCATCAATGATAATTATGAGATGATATACTCTTGTAAAACAAAATACTATTTCTCGCGCGCGAGAAAAAAGAACGCGTGTATTATCTCGCTATTATCAAATTTTATCGAATATATAGTTAGCTCCCTCAGATCGAAATTCATTAACAAGGGGACCTTCTAATTAGTCAGTAATAAGATATAGATTAATGAGATACATTATACATATGTAGTCACATTCAGACCAAATATAAGCTTTAAATTTAAAATTAAACGATATAATGTAAAGATTAGTGAAGACTATTTATATATTACGTTAATTTCATGACTTCACATTTTGAAACGTGTTCTAATGCAATGTTCTTACTTGAAACTTTCAACGACTCAGACTGTTCCAATCAAAAGAATTCTAAGGATATGTGTATTTTTCATAGATGTCCGAAAAGTCCGATAAGTGTTAAGACGTAAAATTTAGATACGCATTTTTTTTTTTACGCAAAAACGAAGCGTTGAAAAATAATGCTTTGCATTTATTTTATTAAATCTCTGTTTTAACAAGCAAGAGAACGTACATTTGTTTTTTAAATATAGAGATTGCCAAATAATTTTAATTATACAGTAATGATAGAGATATTTCTGGTATTACACTTGAAATTTTTTGAAAATTTCTACGGAAATAATGGATGTTTTTGTGTGTAATTAGTAGTTTCTTATTTTTTTTTATCCTCACGTATGAAGTTTTTCAAGAAGGGTACATTATCAAAGCATCATGTATGAATGAGAATAATGCTAGGCTTTGGTATGAAAGCATGAATGATTAAAAAGAACCTCGATTTACTCAGAGCGAGCGAATAAACGAGATCTGGAATGAAAATGTTTTTATCACATGAATTAATATTAACGTATTATTTAATCATATCATTTTAAAGAGTTTGTTATATAAAGTAATTATAAACGTAAAATTCCGACTAATCGATATATATATATATTAATCATCAGCTTTTATTATTTCCTACAATTTACCATTGTATACATTAGTTCGAACCATTTGAATAATTTTTGTAGTAATTTTTGTAAGTGTGTAACTTTTAGATTGTAGGGGAGAATAATTTTATGAATATGTTATAACGGATATATGTGACTTTTTTACAATAAACATTATTTGAAACGATATCGGAATAAAGACTTTTTTTTTAAAGAATGTCTCTTTTTAAATTTGATGGAGAATATAAAAGAGTTTCTCTCTCGCGTATTGTTATTGCGACAATTTTTAAACGTCGGTCGCTAATAGATTAATTCCACGGATTATTTTATCTCCGTTGTTATTTCCAAAGGACGCAAAACGACACGCCAGAGATAAACGCTTGTGCGATTTCACGAACAGCTGGGGCAAATTGCCCAGTGGCTATCGTTCTCGATGAAGTGCGGCGCAGCAACGAACAGTAATCACAGACTTCGCGGAGGAACCAGCGGCTCTTCCGCTAGCCGGAAATTTTCCTAAAAGCCCTCAATTTCGAAATATCTTGGCAGACCGCACTGTGCCTATCGTGTAATGATTATGAGACTCGTTATCCTGAAGCTTCTGGATTTTTAAAGAGACACGAACGAAGTAAGACTGTTTCATTGCGGAAGGAGAGCACCCTTTTCCATCCAATTCTCCAAATTTAAAAATTCAAGAATAAACGTTTTTGCGTTTACTGTATTTAATAGTCACTGCTTCATCTTGTATTTTTAATTGTTTAAACCTATCTGTTACGACAGTTGTAAAGTATTGACATTAAACTGTTTGCGCTTAGTTTTGAATTTTAGTTCATATGTAACGAGGCTTAACTGAAAACTGTCACAATTGAACTATCCCTTCATATTATACTTATTGTTAATGTGATATTTCGATATCGATTGGATGTCGACACCTGGATTACGTTTACGATCATACTAAACTATTCGAGCGTGAAGGAAACAGATGCCTCAAACTGTGTTTAATACGATCTATCAATATTATCGACGAAACGTCAATATATCTAAATGATGTGTATACGATATACGATACTTTCTTCTATAACTTCAATCTGTCGTATTTTTATCTTTTATTGCGAGATATTCTCCCAATGTATTATTACACGCAGTAAACAAAACTATAGTTTACCCAAGCGTTTCCGTTGTCTGCGAAACGCTCGTTATTTCCGCGCGATTCAGCGATTACGATTCTATGAAATATGTGAAAGAAAAATGTTTATATGTGAACATTAAAAGAATATGAGAACACATTAAAAACACATTTATTATATTTTATTGATGTTATTTTATTCGTTTATTTTATCCGTTTTGTTAAATAGATTATGTAGCGAGAAATTTAATACTTTTTTCTCTGTTTTTTGGTTTAAATTAAATTTTAAACTTAAAGTTTTCTCATTCGACTGGCTAGAAAGCGTTAACGCCTCGAGCCGTTTTTTATCTCGAGACTTTCATCTATTTATCTGGCGGAAATTTAACGAATATTTCACATTCCGTGCTTGGCAAGATAACACAGGCTGGCAGTAACACGCTGTGTGATTATCATTAGAGTTAATATTTTCGTGAAAATTTCTCTTCGCTGAGCAGAGCTTTAAGAAATTTATGACTTAACTTCACAACAAAATAACTAATAAAATATTAAAAATACGCGGAGTAATCCTTATTTTAATTTCTTTTTTAAATTGCTTATAATCGTTTTATTAATTTTATATATACGTTTTGTTCAGAAATTTTGTTAATTATGCAAAACTTGAATTAGTTAACAAAAATAAAAAAAATGTCTCGTGCAGATAATCAACTTTTTTCTGCAGTTACTTGAAAGTTTTCCCAGATACTTAACAGATGGACCAGCCGTAAGATCTTCACGGGTGCTTCGAATCGCACGTGATCCAGGAAGGATCAAGAGTTCGCCTGGGCTTAACAAAATCAACATCGGCACGTTCCACTTAAGACTGTTTGCTTTTTTTCACCGTTCTCGGACAAACTGGAAACTAGGACAACTATTTCATTGTTGTGGTTTGCAGCCAAAGGAAACGGCAAAATAAAACGAAGTGCCTCGATGCAGGTGAACTCGCGAGATGAGGGATTGGCAAAGAAATACAGTAACAATCCGCTGGCAACTATTAAAAGTTCCATGGAGACATTTGCGACAGGACACAAAACAGTGACTAAAAAAAGGTCCCAGAAGATTTCATTTTTTGAAAGGTAAGTCACTTTTTTTCGTTAAAAGTCGTGCATTTTATTAAACTTGGCAACTCTTCTGCGAAAAAAAAAGAGAAGGATACTCAGATATACTAGTAGAAACTTTTAAATTTGTTATATTGCGATCACATAATATTAATATCTATGTATATTTGTAATATTATTTTTCGTAGCTGTCCTTTATGAAAAGATATATTCCGTCGTTTATAATTTGTATTTTAAAAAATATTATATAAATTCTTATTTTCTCTTTTTTTATATATCATTTTTTGGATTACAAATTTAAGAAATTATTTAGCATAAGGAATTTTTGATTTCGCGATACTTTATTAGTTTAAAGCTTAGTCCAAATAAGAGTTAAGAGTTTTCTTTGCGATGCAGTTCTTATCGTTGCAGATATTATATAATAGCTACTTATGACTTATTATGATACATATCTTATTCGTGATTTAGATCATTCAATGCAGTCAAAAAACAATAAAATTAAAGTAAGCATAGAGCATATAAAATTTGTATCGCCACGAATAAATATCGTACCGTAAAGTGGACTCTACTTAACCCGAAGAGAGTTCCTGCGCTATATTACACAATTAGGCGAGTTAGCGGGAACGATGGAAGGAAACAATCTCAGGCTCTGTTTTTGACAATGAAATAGATATGATTTATGAAGGCCGGGCGTTTATGATGGTGGCGGTGACGGTGAAGTGTCCTCCTTTTAAAGATTATTGAGGATGATTCGATTCAAGGACACGACGTCTCACCTTGACATTATTTCACATCCGATAGTGCAAGGGTAACTACATCGCTTCCGATATTGTTACACAATATCATAATATCCGATATTATTATAAAATATTTTACAATTGCTATAGCAATTGTAAATGTGATTAGCTATTAATGTCAAATAATATCTCTTTGTAAATTTATTATCATGATTTTTTCTTATTTTATATAAATTATTTTATTTCAATAGTGTTATTTTAAGAAATCACGCTATTAAAATTAATAAGTTTTGTTAATTACATTAATGAATTTTCATGCAGTTTATTTATATTTTTTATATAATTTATATAATTTCAATTTTATACTTTGTTTTTCTACTTTCGCCAAATTTAAGGATAGAAATCGCTCGCATTTTTCCGTCTGGCGTTTTCCGTTTTTACACGGCGAATGTCTATGACTTTTATTTTCACGACCGCGAAATACCGGGCAGGTTTGGCCGAAAAACAGGAAAATGTTTGCGTTCCAAAGGGGCTGGAACGTATCGTTATACAAGAGAAACGCGTGGGCGCTGCTGACAAGAGGATTTCTAGAAAAGAAAGAAAGAAAAAAAAGGAGAGAATAAAATGGACGAAGACATCCAATTCAAGGAGCCGAGCCTGTTCTCAACGACGTCTTTGCTCGACTACGGTTCGCTCTTTCTTACGATCGGTAAAAAGACGACGGAATATCACTGGGACGAGGTGATGGCCACTTCGCGCACCGAGGACGTAAATTCCCGAGGGTTACGATGCACGAAATACTTAACCCTCAGTCTCATCTACGGAATATAAAGTTCCACGTTAAATCTGCGCGATTTCTCTAAGACAGATTGAAGATACAAATTGTTTCATGCGTCGCACGCACGCTTTGCTTTCGACCATAATTATTAAAGTCCATCACATCTAAGTAGATATACGTGGCTTTATAAATGATGCAGCGCTTGATCCCGCGCGAGCGTACGAAATCTTTTCCGACACAAGATAATTTTCTATGGTAGATTTTTTTTTTTTTTTATGTCAAGTGTCTTATTGCAAACCCCAACTTTAAGCGATTTCTCTAAGACAGATTGAAGATACAAATTGTTTCATGCGTCGCACGCACGCTTTGCTTTCGACCATAAATATTAAAGTCCATCACATCTAAGTAGATATACGTGGCTTTATAAATGATGCAGCGCTTGATCCCGAGCGTACGAAATCTTTTCCGACACAAAATAATTTTCTATGGTAGATTTTTTTTTTTTTTTATGTCAAGTGTCTTATTGCAAACCCCAACTTTAAGACAAAACTCAGTGTATTCATCTCACTCGCATCATGCTCACATATCGCATCGCGCTATGTTAGACTCTTTTGACGTCATTCAACGGTTGGTCTCATTAACCTCAGTCCGCTAGTGAGCTTTATAAGAGTGGAGCACTCCAACTATTTAAAGAAAGCGGCGTTGAAGCAAAGTAAAGATTTTAGACGGAAAAAGGTCGATTATGTGCATACGTGCGTTTTATACCGAGTACCCGAAAAAAATTATTCACTATTCCATCCATAAATATTCTACGCTTGAATTAAAATCAATTTTTCGCTGAATGCTAAAAAATATTAAAGATTTTGTGTATTTTTCACTTTGCGGTCCAAATAAAAATTTGGGAAACGTAAAGCTTGTATTTACGTGGCTTGAGCTCTTTTCGCTGAAACTATTTCATTTAATCATCACATCGTTACGTTAGTTCGTTAGCCACAGGCTAACAAATTTCATCAGACAGCTCCATTGGCTTCCGACACAGACTCTTAATGAAGTTGCAGACAATTTTAGAACGGAGATTCTTATCTCTCTCTCTCTTTCTCTCTTTCTCTCTCTCTGCTCTGACAAACTGCTCCTTCTTAAAAGAAGAATCCTACAATAATTATATCATTTCCAAATCACAATCAATTTATCGCTCTCCAAAAATCATCTTATTCCATTTACATTGCATTTCTATTTTATTATTCTGTTACGTTTAACAATTATTCGTATATATGTGTGTTATAAAATATATGTTATAATTATATATAATATGATTTTTTACGAGATAGAAAAAATCGTTGAATTTCATCGAGAAGGGAATCGAGACTTTCGATTTTCCCGAGACAGCGGAATAAGGTCGCTCGTATTGTCCTGATCTCGACAAGTTAGAAGTTATACGACGCGTGAACTTCTAGCCCGT